TTGACCTGAGGGCTCAGATTCATACAATCACAACCAGCAGAACTCTCTCCTCTCCCAAGTGTTCCTGCTGCATGGCCAGTTCCCACACATAAAGACCCTTGCTGGTCTGAGACGAGAGCTCAGAAGTGGAGAGCTAAGCAGCAGTCCAGGAAAAGTGGAGCAAGATGCTATCACGGGGCATCCTGCAGGCCTGAAGGAGAAGCAGGCCTCTCTGCTCCTGTTGCCAGGCTTCGGCTCCATGGCTTAGGCCTCTTGAGGCAGTCACAGGCTCAATCACTCTCAAATAAAAATGGCCCGCCGTCATCACAACCCCTCCCACACAGAGAACGATAAGCCACGCCTCTATATCCTTAGCAAAGAAAACCATAGGTTATTTACTTATTCATGCACAAGCACACGAGACAATTCAACACAGAACGGAAGGTCACTTACAGATGCATACATAATAAACAACAGGGAGAAAGCTTCTCTCCTGCCTGCTGTGGTAATGAACAGCACTCAGCGGTGCTTCCTCCGAGGGTGGAGTGCTGTTTCAACTGTTCTCACCAATCATGTCACTGTGGTGATTCCTTCCTCGGAGATCTCCCTGTGCTAACTCCAATACATTAAAATGTGCAAATGTACACTTCAGTGTAAACGAAAGCAGTATTAGATCCGAAATAAAGCATATTTCCCGTCTTACTTTGTTTAGCATTGGTAGATGTTAATGAAAGAATCTAAAGCACCTTAATGAGAACCCGTGAACGACAGCTCAGAACGTTTTCTTCCAAACATCCAGTGCCTTTCCTATGTCTGATTTGGGTCGTTTGGGTCGTTTTTGAGACAGGGTCTCTAGCATGAGTCCGGCTGGCCTTCTGATCCTCCTGTCCCCGTCTTCTGATCGGTAGGTTGTGGCCGTGGACCAACGTGTACAGCTGCAAAAGCTGCTTCTGTGTGATGCGTACAGTTAGTCTCACTCCCCGTGCAGCACCGATTATTTGCATATTCATGTGCAAATACAGAAAAAACAGTGGGATTGTCTCTTTTTTACTCAGTTAAAAAGGATACCGGCAGGGAGAGAAAGGCCACAGAGCAAACACGAAGTTCATATCCACCTGCGGCCTTCAGAAAGCACAGCTACCCAAACTTTCCAGCCTCAGGAGATCAGAAGCATCATTTCAGAACTAGAAGGTGTCCATGAGACCATATTCATTCTACCAATTTATAGGAAAAGGGGCTTTACGAATATTTAGTTACTTGAAGCCACATATCTGGTTGGCAGCAGATCTGTATCTTTTGTTTCTAAACCCAGGGTCAACTTTTTAGTATTAAACTTCTCTATTCCTAGAGTCATCAAAATGTAAACCATTCAAGTGACGATCCTAAACCAGCGCTACGATCTATGCTATTTCTTTTCCATCCCTATGGTGAATCCTGTGATGACCTGGATACAAAGTCTCCCTTCCCTACAAAGCTTTATGTGGTGAAGGTCTAGTCCTCTGCTAATGGCTCTGATGGTTGTAACTGGGTCATGGTTACAGCTCTGATCCAGTGTACTGATCCATCAACGGGTTCATGGCATTATTAGAATGCAAGGGAAATGCTATGTCCCGCCCAGGACCCTTCCTGTCTCTCTCTGCTTCCGAGGTACCACGAAGTGAGCAGCTTCTCTCTGCCATGTGCTTTTGCTGTCATAGCACCCGGGCCCATGGCGGGCCCATAGTAATGGCACAGACAAGCACAGCAGAAGCCTCTGTAACAGTGAGACCGAAGGCCACCTATTTGGAAAGGGCTGCTCTCATGCGACAGCCATGGAAGTCTGCATAACTTAGCAAAACCTTGTCCCCACAGTGACGCCACTCAAAATGTGGGCAGGCCAGGAGGGCAGGGCATGTCCTTCTAACAGGGGTTTCAGAAAGGTTTGTTTGTTCCTCCTGGCAACCAACAGCTGTTCTACAATGACACAATTCAGACTCACCCCGAGTCTGCCCATGCCTTCATCTTGAACCTGTCATTGTCCAATATGATAGGAAATGGCTTCAGCGCTATGATGTAGGTGGGCCTTCTGTGATGTGTTATTTTCATTGGCTAATAAAGAGACTGCCTTGGCCCTCTGATAGGACAGAAAATTAGGTAGGTGGAGTAAACAGAACAGAATGCTGGGAAGAGGGCGATGAGGCAGATGCCATGGAGCCAGCCACCAGGTCAGACATGCTGAATCTTTCCCGGTAAGCCACCACCTCATGGTGCTACACAGATTATTAGAAATGGGTTAATCAAGATGTGAGCGTTAGCCAGTAACTAACTCTCTAGAGATAATGGGCCAGGCAGTGTTTAAATGAATACAGTTTCCGTGTAATTATTTCGGGTAAATTCCGTGTAATTATTTTGGGTAAAGCTAGCAGGGCAGGCAGTGGGGTCCAGGTGAGACGGGGAAACTCTGTTGTGTTTGTCATGTCTGTAAGTTCTGTGGCGAGGTCGGGATGCAGTTTCACCTTTCCCCTGTTTTAAGACAAGGCCTCCTATAGCTCACCTCAAATTCATTTCCTTGCAGAGAATAACCTTGAGCTTCCGATCCTGTCTCCACTTCTATAGAACTGGGATCATAGGTAGGTTTTACCAAGTCTGGGTTTGCACACATAGTTCTTGCCTATTTCCCAATCTTTGATGAATGTCAAGTTGCTGGATATTGGCTATTTGGACTGTGGGTAAACAAGGTTTTAAGCTTATTATACTTAAAGAAAAGGAGAGGAAAAGTTTATTAAATAGAAGGCAGGAGCAGGGGAGGAGAAATGGTTCTGAGCCAATGCTGCAGATGAATGTTGAGGTATCCCCGCCATTAATTATATTTGAAACATTTGGAAGTCACAGATGGTGATAACTGCCATCGAATCACTCAGGCTGACACTGCAGTGGATGAGCACTAGTGACAAATTAACCTCTCCAGAGTCCAGGGTATTCCTAACTAACACCCCCATCCCTTCCTAACACTGGGACAAACTGACCTCTCCAGAGTCCAGGGTATTCCTAACTAACACCCCCACCCCTTCCTAACACTGGGACAGTGGAGTTTAAAATGTGAGGAAGCAGAAGCCAAGACAGCGTGGGAAGAGGCCAACTACTGAAGGATCTTGGTGTGGGAGGGTTATCTCACAGTACTGGATGCTGTGAGCTTCTATCCTGGATCCTTCTTTTATGATACAATAGCCTTCTTCTGAGCAGCAATATCTTTTCCTATTTGTCTTGTCTTCCTTTAGTTAAATCAGTAGCACATGAGCTATGGAGGAGAAGGTAGTGACCTTCTTCTGGTTTACAGCAGACAGAGTCACCTATTCATCCGCCAGCATCCAGTCTCCACCAGACCTGCCAGATGCTCAGACAGACAGACAGACAGACAGACAGACAGCAATGACCAAAGGCGAGCAGAGCTCAGGCTCTGCTTTACAGAGATGTCACCTAGTTTCTCACAGCTTCCAAACACACCCTGAAAAACTTTCTGTCTCCGAGCAAAGAGGCCCTAAGAACACCTTCACATGGTCTGAGAGATTGGAAGGATCCCAATCTCGAAGTGACTGCAGGATTGTGCAGCATTAGTGGCATTAATCAGCCATATGAATTCTAAGGACCTCATGATCAGATACCATATCCTTTATTATTAAAACAACCCAATGGAAGATTGGCTTGATTTTATGAAATGAAAACAGAGGTTCTAAGAGATTAATGTTCTAAAGATCACGACAGCGCTAAGCCTGGAAACTTGGACCCTTGGACTCTCGCGCCTGCGTTTACTCCTGCTGCTTCCTGATTAATTCTGCACAGAAGGATTGTCTCTAAAGCCAAGGCTAAGAGCCTGCACATGTCTGAACACATCGCAGGCCCGTCTGATGCACAAGGCTCTGGGTTTATGCGGCGCTGGGATCAAACCCAAAGTCTTGCGCACGCTAGGCAGGCTGGGTAGTTTGTCAGCCTGACACAAACTAGAGTCCCCTGGAAAGGGGGGACCTTAATTGAGGAACAGCCGCCTTCTGACTGGCCTGTGGCATGTTTGTGGCACCTTTTTTATTTTGTTTTTTTAATTTACGGTTGACATGGGGGGTGGGCTCAGCACATTGTGAGTGGTACCACCCATGACAAGGCCCTGGGTTGTACAAGAAAGCAGGGTGAGCAAGCTATGGGGAGCAAGCCAGCAAGCAGTATTCTCCCATAGTCTTGAGTTTCTGCCTAGACTTCCTCAGTGACGGACTGCTACCTGAGAATGTAAGATGAAATAAACCCATTCCTTCCCGAGCTGTTTCTGGTCAGCATTTTAATCACACCAACAGGAAACAAATTAGGACCCTGGGCAAGCACTCTACCAACTGAGCTACACCCAGCCTTAAATGTCATTTTACTAAAGGTTTCAATGAGTCTAAATAATAATGCACGCAGTTTCCATAAAACTGGCTTTAGCTCACGGACTATATAATGGATAAGGCAAGGGCGTCTGTGCATGACTTTGCTAAGTCCCACTGGAGGGGGTAAAGGGTATGCAGTCAACCAAATGTCTGTTGTGGGATCAGAGAACAAGCAGCATGTCAGTTGTTGAAAAACAGAAGGCCAAATCCAGCTAAAGCTTCAAGTGGCTAAACAAGCACCACTTGGGAAAACACAATCTCTGATATTAAAAAGAAATTACCCAAATCAAACAGAGCTGTCCACCAACTACTGGATGTAAAGGTTTTCATCTGGCTTTCAAAACCGAAGTGACTGCAGGATTAGAGCAACGGCAGTATAGCTGACAAACAGGCAGAAACTCCCCATAAGCAAAATCTCACGGGGACTTGATATGTGAGAGCCATTGCCCGGAACTGCGGAAAAGAAACTCACCAATAACTGGTAACATCGAGTACAATTTGCCCTTAATCGCCTACTTCAGAAAAAGGGCCAGTTTTATCCAAGCTCTAGGCATTCTGGGGCAGTGTGTGTGTGTGTGTGTGTGTGTGTGTGTGTGTGTGTGTGTGTGTGTGTAATAACACACGTACCTGCTTCGTCATAGGATACCGTCAACTTCTCCAGCATTTCTCGGTCAATGGACAGGATCTGCTGCTCCAGGATGCTCTGGTAAGACAGAACGCTGTTTTCTTTGTCTTTCTCATAATCCTGAAGATGCTGCTTCAGCGCCTCTGGGAGTCGAGACTTTACATATTCGGCTGCAGTCTGTGGGTAAACAGAGAACTCCATTAATACCTCTCACCTTAGGCTTTCCTTTACCTTCAGGGGCTACAGAGAGAACTCAGAGCACTTTAGATCCAGCCGCCAGACACACGTCTTGCTGCTGTGAGTCTTAGATTGCACAAGTGTAGTAAGACGTATCTTCACTCTGTCAGACCCCAGACCTCTTTGAGTTTTCTATCTCGTTTAAAAGACGATGGATTCCATGTTCACAGAGTTAGTACTGTGAACTGAAGGCCAAAATTAGGATATGATTGGTGAGCCATACTTGAAAACCCAGTACAAGGTCATCCTGGCTATAACTGAGTTCAAGGTCAGTCTAGGCTACCTGAAACTGATTCAAAAACCAACAAATATACCAAAAAACCACGTCTGCAGCCACTAAGGAATTTCAAGGACCCTGATAATGATGATCAATCTGGTTTGGGCCAAGAATAAAGCAAAGACCTGTCCACATAGTTTATAGTCTAGTCCTGTTAATTGTGAAATATTTAAGGTATGGGCTAAAATTAAATGAAAATCCCTCACATTCATAGACTAGAAGAATATTATTATTAGCCACAGTGATTCACAGATTCAATGCAATCCCTATCTACAGTGATCTATGTATTTAATGCAATCCCTACCCAAAGTATCAAAGACATTTATCACAGCCATAGAAAAATATCCTAATGTTCATATGAAACACAATCTCAAATATGTAACATTAAGAATTTTGATTTCCAGATTGTAGAAGCCACAGGGTCCAAGGACACCACAAGAAAACTCACAGAATCAGCTAACCTGGGCTCATAGGAACTCACAGGGACTGAATCGACAACCGGGGCACCTGCATGGGACTGACCGAGGCCCTCTGCATATATGTCACAGTTGTGTAGCTTGGTCCTGTTGTAGGACTCATAACAGTGGGAACAGGGGCAGTCTCTGACTCTTATTCTGACTTTTGGGACCCTACTCCTCATACTGGGTCACCTTGCTCAGTCTTAATACATGGGGAGGTGCTTAGTCTTATTGCAACTTGATATGCCATGTCTTGTTGATACTGGAAGATTTCCCCTTTCTGGAAAAAGAAACAGAGGAATGGGTTGGGGGTTGGGTGGGGTGAGTAAGAAAGGGTATGGGAGAGAGGACTGGGACGGTAGGAGGGAGGGAAAACTGCAGCCAGGATGGAAAATAAATACATAAATAATTTTTTAAGAATAAAATAAAATAGAAGAAAAAAAGAAGACAAAAACGAGCGGTTGATTTTCTAGAACTAGAATCCATGCTGGTTATCGGGCTGGGTAGTGGGGGACGGAGTGGGAGTTATCGTTTTTTTAGAGAGTATCTTCTCACTAGACTGGAGGAGTAAGCTCCAGTAGTTCAATAAAGAGGGGTGACCATAACTAATACTGCTATATTATATTCTAAAAAGTGCTGAGCGTGGCTATTGTGTGTGATGTGGTCATCACTGAAAGGTAACTTTTGTTCATTTATTCTGTTTCATTTTGAGACAGGGTCTTCCTCTGTCGCCCTGACTGGCCTGGAACATGCTGTGTAGACAGGGTCAGCCTTAAACTCATGGACATTTCCCTGCTTCTGTCTCCCAAGCACTGGGATCAAAGGCGTGCACCGCCACACCCAGCTGGTAATGTCAGTCAGCTAGGTTTAACCATTTCACAGTGGATATAATTACTGCCAATTGAAAAGAAAAACAAAACATGTGTACTTTAAAATATAAACACACAGGCATGTATGTTTCCTGTAACGCGGTACAAGGGCAGAGTGCTTCTCCGTTCACAGAATAAGATGATCTATATTCTTTGGAAAATATACAATAGGTGCTATGTATTGGCCAGGAAGAAACCATGAAGGGCCAGTGTGGTTAAAAGCAGAGCTACTGAGCACAAGAGATGCACATCTTTTCCATGTAAAGCACACACACCTACACATCCGTATGAGGAGACAGGGAAAGATACATCCCAACTGCAGAAGGTACTTTCTCCTGTCTGTATTTCCGGAATGGTCTCATGGTGGGTTTAGTACTGTCATTTAAATTGTATTTTCTTGTAGTCTTCACAGCTTTCTCCTTAAATGTTTCCAGAACTTATTGTGGAAGGAAACTTGCTGGACAAAGACAACTGGCTTCCCAGAAGGTATACTGGAAGGCGGCGGGCAAGCTGTGTTTGGACCACTGAGTCGCTAACAATAGCGTCCGACGCTTATTTCCAGATTTACAGTTGAATTCCCTAAATCAGATGCTGAGGATGTTACAGCTTCAAAATATCACCAAACAGTACTCACTTCTTCTGCCAGCCAGCAAGTGCAGAACAAATAAAATTATTCCATAAAATGTAAATGAACTCAGCAGTACATTAGCATAACACATTGAAGTCTAGATTTTAATAACAAGTTTCTCCTAACATTAGAAAACAGCATCCTGACCCTGCAGAATAACTACATTTAAACACACTACCCCGCGAGTCAGTGCAACATCTGTCTTTAACAGTTGTGTTTGTTGGAATATTTATGAGACACGAGAAAGGGCTCTATAATTTATCACATTTTAAAATATTGATCTAGTCTTTATTACTGAAAGCACACCGCATTATTTCTTCCCAGTTGTGTGCCTCCTGACAGTGTTTAAAATGGAATTTCCTTTCCTAATTCCAGTCAGGCTGTGGGTCTCAAGAGCTTCCGTAGCTCACACTATTAGGGCTACACTTCGGCATTTCAATTCTGCAACTTCACACACAAAACTCTTGCTAGAGATTCGTCAGAGGCACAGAAGGAGCCAACTCTCAGCAAATATTAGACCCTGGTACAGTATTTCAAGAACCGGCTGACTGACACTTTAAATGGATTCAAATGGCAGCCCACCCTTATGTTCAAACGGGAGCTTCTGTTCAAAGCACATTTTTAAACGAGACGGGAATCATCTCATAAATAAAAGAAAATTCAAAGAATAGTCGAAATTCAAAATTTTTACTGACATCCTAAAAAGAATGAGCTGAAAAAAAATTAAAACGTGGAATTACTTATCTACTCTTTATTTCCTTTGAGATTTGTTTATTTTATGTGTCTGGGTATTTGGTCTGCCCGTATGTATGTGCACCACAGGTGTGCTTGGTGACTGAGGAGGTCGGAAGAAAGCGCAGATGTCCTGGGACTGGAGTTATGGATGGTTGAGCCACCACGGAGGTGCTGAGAACAGAACCAGGAGCAGTATGTACCTATTCTTTCATCAAAGGCAGATGCTCTTGGAAGCCCCAATCCTAACGTGCCTATTCTTAGAATGGTAGCCACTTCGGAGACAATAAAATAATTGGTATCACCAGTTTCTCTCATGTATGCAGTATTTTTCCAAGCCATTCACAAATCCATCATTTCTTCTTCACAAATCACCGAGTGAGAGTAGACGGTCGGTCACTGGGTAGGTGTCGTCCTTCCTGTCCCTCCGTTAGGCTCCAAAGCTCCGCACTGTTAGTATTGCCCAATCTATCTATCTTCTATGCGCACTTCTCAGGGTACTCACCAGCTTCCCAGTGATTTGTACAGGCTAGAGGCACTTATTGGAGTACGGAAAAGCCATCTAGAAGGTAGTGAACGCGAGGTCACAGTGCAGATGGTAAGACACGAAGGCAAATGTGCTGTGCACTAAGCTGTACAGGACGGGAAGGCCAGCCTTCTGCACTGGCTAGAGGCTGCTGAATCAGGCAGGACTTATGGGTAGAAAACGAACAAACGCAATCAAAATCTGAAAATTATGAACACCTTTTACCCAGTTGTCATTTTCTTCTAGAAATTTAAAGAAAATTAACGTCCAAAGATGAGTGTAAAGACCTGAGTGTGAACACGTTTATTCAAGTTAAATTGTTCATCACATGTGGTGAACACAGAAAGAGGATGCTGCGGGTGGAAGGGCACAAGGTGGGGAAAGCAGGACCAAAAAACGATTTTTATTTTTTTGTCTAGAAAATGCCATAATGAGATCAATACTTCATGCAGTAGTTTTTAAAAATTAATGTTATCTTAAAATTACTTAAATATCATCACAAATGTACTTTGAAAAAAAGTGTGTGTTTGTGTGTGTATGTGTGTGTGTGTGTGTGTGTGCATGTGTGTGTGCTACATGCATGGCTTGGTCCTGAGTAGGGGTAGCCAGGGACAGCTTGGGAATTGTTGTGAGGAGCTGCAGGCAGGCCTGCTTTTCATCCTGCCCAGCTCCCGCATGGCTAGCTTAGCCCCAGAAATAATAACACATAAGTTGTATTCATTTAAATACTGCCTGGCCCATTATCTCTAGAGAGTTAGTTACTGGCTAACTCTCACATCTTCATTAACCCATTTCTAATAATCTGTATAGCACCACGAGGTGGTGGCTTACCGGAAAAGATTCAGCATGTCTGACCTGGTGGCTGGCTCCATGGCGTCTGCCTCATTGCCCTCTTCCCAGCATTCTGTTCTGTTTACTCCGCCTACCTAATTTTCTGTCCTATCAAAGGGCCAAGGCAGTCTCTTTATTGACCAATAAAAATAACACAATAGACAGATAACCCTCCTCCATCAGGGAATGAAGAAAGGACAGACACATGTACACAGAAAAGCTGGGGTCAGGTGGGATGTGCCCATTCTGATGGAGCCACACTTACTGCAACAATGAGGAACCTCAGCCTGTTTATTATGTCAAGTGTGTGTGTGGGAGCTAGTCTCAGTAGGGGAGCAGGCTCGGACTCAAATATCCAGGAGGAAGCTGCAATTGCTAGTTTTTACACACACCGATCAAGCATTCATCCTTGGACCAGAGGAAGCCTTTGCTTTTCCTAGGGGGAGAAAGTCTTTGCCAATTTCCTATGGGTTAGAGATCTTGGTACCTGACCATGTGAAGTTCATGTCAAATAACACACATTTACTCAGAATTTCGCTTGCTCAGGATGTTGCTCTGTCTCGCCAGCAAGAACCACGCAGGACACAGGATCTTTCTGCAGAAAAGCTTTAATGCCCCT